GGGAACCAGAGAGGGAACCCCATGATGGGGGGTGGAACGGGGTATTGTTACTGATTTCATCTGTTGAGATGGACGGGGCAACTACATAGAATATGTGTCTTCTTAAAAAATTGGGGTAAAGGCTCACAATCTTAAAAAAGCCTCCAGACTGCTGACCCCCCAGATCTACATATTGGTCTGCGTGGCTTAAAGAACAAGAAGCAGCACAAGACTGAAGTGAACTTGGGAGTCGTCAGTGGCAGACAGGTCTATTTCAAAAAATAAAAATAACCACGAGTGCCGGCCAAGGAAGCGGAGACGGAGGCCCGTGCAGGCTCTTTCCTTATGAACCACGCGTGGCTACTCTCCACTTCCAGATCCTCTTTCCCAAAAGGAAGCCTTTCAACCCAATGAGAGAGGCGGTCCCTTCCTCCTTCTCAAGGAGTCTGCATCTGTCTCAACCCCCTGAGAAGGTAGGTGGGACCTTAGGTCGTGACATTAGGAGAGGTGAAGACTTGCTGGAGCTCCAGGGTCAGAGGGCCCTGCTTTCCCTGAAACTATGTGAGATGTTCTGGGTCTGCAATGTGTGTGTCCACGTATGTCAGCACTCACCTCTGAGCATTTTATTGCGAAGACTGTTCTTCAGTTTTTCCGTGGAAGTCTGGGAAGTGCCTGAAGACTTACGTTCTGAAACACATGGTTCGGGGAAGGCTGAAGGCTACCACGGGAGCCTCCCTTCCATTTTGAGTCTCGTCATACGTTCGGATGTCATTTGAGTTCTCTGTGTGACTTTCCCAAGGCTTGTGGCCCTTTCAACCAGCAACGGCAGTTGTGCTTAGAGGAGGCCTGGGCAAGCCTGGACAGGTCCTAGGAGGGATCGCTTGCCCGTAGAAGGAGTGGGGTTGAAAGCAGACAATTCATACAGCACACTAGGGAACTTGTCTGGGCATTTACTACACGTAGCCAATCAGATGCGTGTCATCTAATTGACGTTAGAGGTTGGGGTCCTGCGATGGTCTCCTAACCACCTTGTGACGATGGCCACCTTGTGGTTGGACCCCCCAGAACCAGTCCTGTTATAGCATCGCCCAGCACAGTAGGAGCCTTTCCCACGCCTGTGGTCCCTCCAGTGACCGTGAAGGATTGGACCTGCCACTAGTTGTGATGACTTCCTTTGCTCTTTGTGGCTGCAGTTAGTTCCAGACGCCATCAGCCTTGCGAGAAAGGTTTCCTTTATCCACCTGGATGATGATGCTTGCTTTGTGTTTGTCCTGTTGAAAGCTTAATGATAGGGTCTCTGTGGACCAAGTGTGAATCTCAGGTCTGTTTTCCATTAGCAGGAATCTCCAAAGAGGAAGCCCCAGCCTGGTTCCGGCTTCATCACCTTTGACTGGACCACAGCAACAGGCTCCGGGCTCCCTGATGATCATCTTTCACTTATCTCACAGGGCATCTTGCTCAAATACCTGCTTACGTATTTCCATTGGCTCCAGTTGCCAAAATTCCTTGCATGACCTTTAAAGTGCATCTTATCCAGCCTTCTCCCATATTTAAATGCCGTCACATTCCTCCACACTCTCATCATGTACTCTGTGACCCAGAGTCTTATCTAAGGTATGACAGGAATAGTAACAGCAGGGTGTCACCTGAAGGGTCCCCCACAAAGCCGTTTCTATTCATTCAGGAGCCCTATGCTTTGGACATGGTGTCAGTGGAAACCCACAAGGGCAGTTCCACTTGCCCCCCCCCCCAAAAACCCCTCACAGCTATGGAGTTGATGGCTAGGCTACTCCTATCGACCCTATAGGACAGGCTAGAACTGCCCCTGTGAATTTCTGACACTGTAGCTGTTTACGGGAGTAGAAAGCCCTATCTTTTTCTCATGGAGTGGCTGGTGGTTTCGAACCACAGACCTTAGTGGACCACAGGCCAATGAGTAACCCCTGAGCCACCAGGGCTCCAACTGTCGCATAGGGTTGCAATGAGTTGGAATCTACTGAATTGCAGTGAGTTCAGTGGGGTTTTTTGTTTATTTTGGTATTAACCTAATGAGACCTACTGCCTTTCCTCAAGCCTGTAGACATGAAAGGCCCAGGGAGGAGTGAGCCGAGACATCTGTCCTTCTGGAAATCGTGAGAAGGCGCAATCGGGAGATGCTCTTTACTTTCTACTCCTTCTTCTCACTACGGCCCTGCTATGGCCATCACGCAGGAGCCCTGGTGGTGTAGAGGTTATGTATTCAGCTGCTAACCACAAGGTCAGCAGTTTCATACCACCAGCCGCTCCAAGAGAGAGAAATACGATGCTTTCTACTCCTGTCAAGAGTTTCAGTCTTGGGAACCTAAGGGGCAGCTCTACCTTGTCCTGTAGGGTCTCCATGAGGCGGCATCAACTCGATGGCGATGAGTTTGTTTTGTTTTGTTGTTGTTTTTTTATAGCCACAACGAACTGTGGGACTTTCCACCGGAACGTGTCAGGAACTTTCGTATCTCTCTTTCTTTTCCCGGTTTCCTGTACTCCGTGTGGCCGAACCCACCAGGGGCTCCAAGCCCTCATCTGCGCTGTGAAATCCACAAACCCTCCAACCCCCTCCCCCCAAGTGAGTCACACCCTTTCTGTGCGTCTACTTCTGAACCTAGCATTGCTCACACTAGGCATCGTATGTGTGTCTGTCTCCCCAGCTGGATGGGGAGCTCTCTCAAGAGAAAAGCGAAGTTCCTGCTTTACCATTTAATCTCCAACATCTCTCACTGAGCCTGTCACCACGGAGTCCTGGTCGAAAGCAAACCTTTTGAATGAGTCAGCGAAGAACGAAAGCAGTAAATTAGGAGGGAAAACTTCATACTCCTGTAAAGAGTCTCAGAACACCGCCCCCCCCCCTCCCCGGGGCGGTTGTAGTCTGTCCCAGAGGGTCGCTATGCGTCAGCATTGACTGGAAGGCAGCGAGTTCGGTTCTGAGCGAAGTGACGGGAGCGCGGCTACCTGCACAGGTGCGAAGGGGCTGGCGCCCCTCCCCAGTGGGCCCGCCGGCACTACATTTCCCAGAAGCCCGCGCGGCCCGAGCATGCGTACTAGGGCGCGCTGAAGCTGCGACGCCGAGTTTCACTCAGGCGGGGTCGGAGCCGGAGCCGGAGCCGGAGCTCCGCGCAGGCCG